TGTATGCATTGCTTTAAGAATTTAAATTCAAATGCTGTAATACGGCAAATACTTGTTTTTTTCTCTTTCCATATTTGATCTAGATAATATTTTATTTGAGAACACTGTGCTCGAAAAATTGTTTGTAAAAGTGTAAGAAATAAATGCACTGCTGCGATATCTTTGAAGTTCACCTTAATAAACCTTTTATATTTTCTTTGATCTGCAAACATGCATCTTCTGATTGAGACAATGTAAAAAATATTATTATAAAATGATGCTAATCATATAAAATACCCATTAATTAAAATGTCCATGTAAGACAAAATGCTAAAATAAAGAAAAAGACCATAATGAAAGGTTAGTGGTTTAATGTTTATAGGTTTATGGTGGTATTTGTGCTTTTAGCTTAATGTGATCTGGATTAAAATCAGCTACAATGGCGAACTAAAGTTTAAACTCTGTTCACATTCCCACAATTGGAGTACTTGTAATAACCAGCAGGTGGCTCAATAATCTCCGTTATCACTTGACTTAAACCTAATACAACAGAGCTAAACTGATTACTATTTGTATTTTTTATTTTTTATTTTTAGAAATAGAAAAAAACCCCTCCTTTCAAAAAAACTGACGTGACAGCAACAGTGGTCTTCAACTTACATTGCAACTTTTCTCACCAGTTTTGTTGTTGTTGTTTTTAAATTAAAATGCTTGATAATGTGTGATAATATAACCTAATTTGGATGGTTAATTTTTGTAGTATGTGTGTAAATAATAATAACAAAAAATAAGACTACTACTACTACTAATAAAACAATTATAATAACTGTCTTTACAGAACAGACCACACTGTACAGTTACGAGGACTATGAAAATGGTTTAGGCGACTACGCTCCTACCAATTTCAGTGATGTACAGGTCTTCAGCCAAGTGTTTCTATCCACTCTCTATAGTTTGGTTTTTGCCTTGGGCTTCATAGGTAGGTGTGTCTTCTACTATGGGAATGACAGTTGTGTTTACACATTGGAGGGAAAGTGTCAAAGGTATACAATTCTCGACTCTTTTTTTCTGCCAAAGGTAACGGACTAGTGGTGTATGTCGTGGTGAAGCATCGCAATCAGAGCAACCTGACAGACATCTGCCTCTTCAACCTGGCTCTCTCTGACCTCCTCTTTGTCTTCACGCTGCCGTTCTACTCTCACTATGCCAGGGTCGGCCAGTGGACTTTTGGAGACTTCATGTGCCGTTTGTTGTCCGGCTCTCACCAGACTGGCTTCTTCAGCAGCATCTTCTTCATGGTTGTCATGACGCTGGACCGTTATGTAATCATCGTGCACGCTCACAGGGTTGCACGTTATCGTACAATGAGGGCAGCCATCATTCTGACCGTGCTCGTTTGGACGCTGAGCTTGTTTGTCTCTCTGCCGGATTTTATCTTCACACAGGAAACAAAGAACGAGTCTGAGAAGTTTGGATGTAACTATCCCGAGGAGAAGAAAGTCTGGAAGCATTACAACCTGTTCACCACAAATGTGCTGGGCCTCGTGATTCCCATGCTGGTGATGGTAGGTTGCTACTCCAGGATCATCCCCACACTGGTAAACATGAGGACCGCAAAGAAGCACCGCATTGTCAAGCTGATCATCTGCATAGTGGTTGCATTCTTCTTACTCTGGGCTCCATATAACATTTCCCGTTTCTTGAAGTTTCTTCAGGAAAAAGGAAAAATCCTACGTGATCCCATCTGGTACAAAAATGTAAGGCTGTCAGTGGTAGTAACTGAGGCGTTAGCTTACACTCACTGCTGTCTGAATCCCATCATATATGCATTTGTGGGACAGAAGTTTATGAGACGAGCCTTGAAGCTGCTGAAAAATTTTGTGCCTGGCATCAGGAATCTTCCAGACAGCTCATTCAGGAGAAGCTCAGTTATTTCCAGGTCCTCTGAAGTCACCTCCACTTATATCATGTAGAAGGTGTAGGGAGGATTGCTTGACATGAATGTTTCACCCTGTTATTACTGCAGACCATATCCTATTCATGTTTCAGTGATTTGTTTTGTTAATTTGGTCACTCCCACTTGCCACATAGCAGTTTTCTTCACCTGTGTCTCACCATGTTGAATTTTCAGTATTGTTTTGACTGTAAGATTTCAGATTTAAAGGCTCATTACTTCTGAAATGATTGTAACCTGCTAGCACTGCTGTCTGCTTTACAGATTCTCAAGTCCTTTCTAAACTATGGAATGAGGGTTTTTTTGCTGGTGGTGTAAAATGAAACTATTTTCTTCATGCATGTTTTTATTCAACAGCTATGTAGGATAAACATATCGAAAAAGAAAACAAGGCATAATGGAACATTTTATACTTGTGTGCATAAAGCGTTTTATTCAAATGTATGCAAATACAGTGCTAGGTGTTAAAAGTACATTTTCACGTGTCTTCTGACATAATATTGGGTATTTGACAAATGATAAGGAACAACCTTTCCAGTGTGTATTTTTGTGTCAATTTTGTATACGCATGTACAGTATGCTGTATAGAGTTTTATATATTAGATTTTCTTTTTTTGCTTCAGTGATTATTGCAGGTATTTCAAAGGTTATACTAAATATATATATTATCTTACTTTATTGTACACATTTGTTATGCTTTTTTTGGCTGCTGTTGTTTTTGATTCCTTGGCTTTGCAATTTCTTTACCAGTGAAAGTGATTATATTCTGCAATACTCATCTCTCATCCTGATTTTACATGGTAGTTTCCTTAAGACAGTCACTGATATGTAACTTCTGTCGGTGCTGTGCTTTTGGAAACCGAATTTCCCAGAGGAACCCACCCGAGGGATTAATAAAGTTTTATCTTATCTCTTATCTCTGATATTGCATATTTTGAGTATAATAGTGTGTATTGAGCATGATCTCCTATATTTCCCTTTGTAACTGTAAAGAAAAAATCCTTACATGAAAAGTCATGAAAAAAGAGATTATTAAAAAAAGACAAGATATGACGTGAGACAGTTCCTAATTTATTTATTTGATACTTAACTGTTTTCCACCATAGAACATTAGTGTTGTCTGTTATAGGGGACCATTAGTGGAAGACCAACTAGTATAACAAAGATTTTATCAGCTGTGAGTTATTTTCAACTGAAGTTGAAGTAAAGATGAGCTGTGTAATTCCTCATGAGCTGAATGCTTTTTGCAGATGTTATATGAGAAGTATATTTGGCAAACAGTCTATTTTTGTAAAATCAAAGTAAGTAAGTTGCAGGGTAAGCAGAAACACCCTAAAAACACAATTCAATATTTTGAAAAGCATTAAAACTCAATATGTAATTCAAATACAAAGAAAAATGACAAAAATTAAAAAATGTAGGTTATTTACTTACTTTGGGTGTTTGCGTGTTGTTGATTTTTTTAATGCTATTTTTAAATTATACATCAGCAAGAGCAACAGAAACAGAAAAATGTAATGCTTATAAAGTAAAACAACCTGGGTGCAAAATGACTGCTAACTATGTATATTATTGACATTCTTTGAAAAAAAGAGTTCAGAAATAATCTTTTCTTCCATGTAAGAGTAAAATAATTTGGGGATTTTGTATTTACATGCACAGTATGTTTTTGAAACATTCAGAAAATATGAATAACAACTATTGTTAAACTCAGCAAAGGTTGTCACTGCACCCCCAAACGCGAGTTTAAACGCAAAGAAAAACTTAAGGTGAAGAAGCAGCAAACGTGCAGGAAAATGATGTATGGGTTGTATGGTACTTGAAAGAAAATCTACATTTACTTACTTTTTTCTCCAGTTGTGTTTTTAAGACAAACATTACCTGATAAATTACTTGTCTGGTCTGCACCAGGTGAACTTTGTCTTTAGGAAATCAAATCATTGTAATGTAACAGCATAGGTCAGAAACGATGAGATCGCCTGCAGTGGCTGTTAAACACAGAGATACAACCAGATTTAGCAATCTGAGGCACTGAGGCAGTGCCATAACTGGTCAGTGAGCTGCTAACCAGGATGTCACACACTTATTTCCTGTTGATTCATCTACCGGTAACCCCCCCCCCCCCACCCCTCAGACAGCCATCTCAGAAAATGACCATGTGGTTTGATTATGCGTCACTGAAATTCTACCAAAGAATTCAAACTTTTGAAATGTGCACCACTTTTCTAATTTTCCACCACAAGAGGTGGCAGTAGACCACACATACGTGTTTTCCAAGAATCAATCATCTCTCATAGAGTAAGTGGGTTGTGCAGCAATAAGTATATAAAAACGGGTATGTGGGGTCTATGTCATGGAGATGCACCACAATGACAACAAGAAGAGAAAATGATGACGAGAAAAGGAAGACATCAAGATAGAGACAGAAACACCAGTTTATAGTAATATTGCGTTTGACTCTGAATAGAAGTCTTTGAACAATTACTAATATCAGTCGAGCACATTTCTTAATCAAAGCTGCAACTTGTGATGTGAAATGTAACAAAGCAAAGACCAAAATATTAATTGCAGAAGTTATCACTCGCCCTTTCAGCTGTGAGTGAAATTATGCTGTTAAAATTAAAGATGTATTCATATTGAAAATTATTTGAAAAATAGTGCATTTTCTAAATAAGTTTAAGTAGAAGGAAAACTAAATATGGTGTAAACCTACATGCAAAAATCATGAAGGGTTTTAATTGTTTTTTTAAAAGCCAGCATTCAGTTTTAGAGGTGTGAAGGGGTGTAACCACATGCCATTCTGCTCTTTGAATTATTTTTGGCATTCTTGATGTCTAGCAGACATCTAGACAAGATAAAGATCTTACTTACAGGACATACAGGAAGCAACATCTGCTCTTCTGTTTTTTTTTACTGCTCATTATCAGACTGCTAACTATTTGGGTGTTAGTTCATCTCTGCAGAATAAAGGCATCACATCATTAAGAACGAAAAACAAAAAGGGGGGAGCCTTGAAGTGCCATTCCTGACTCTACCTGGCTGGAAGAGCCATCATTGAGATATCACTATGCAAGGTGAATACATTTAATAAGTAATCCATTGGTATCCAAATTGGTAATTTTGCAGTGTAATATTTTAATATTTTCTTTTAAATATATCCATGTTATTATGGTTAATGTCTAAGGCTGTACGCATTCCTGTAGAGATCTAAAACCAATAATACTGTAAAATATTATCTTTTTATTTCTATTTGATAGTTCTATTTCTATATTCTTCGAAAAGTCTTCACAAAAGTGTACAAAATATGTGTATAACCACAATGTTTGTGAAGGTGACCTTTTGCTGTCATCTACAAACATGTCTGTTGAGTTAGACAATATAATAAAAATAATATTTTAAAATTATGTTGATAATCTTAAATAATCTCATTACATGGATATTTTTGTAAAAATGATTATAACATAAAGAAATGGACGAAATGAAATAATCATTTTCAGTGCCCCAGGGTTCTAATAGTACACATTTAGACCGGGCTTATTGGCTTTTAGCCTCATATCACCTGTTTTTATTGTAGCTGATTTGGTTTAAATCATAGACAGTATAAAGGAAGTTTAAATCTCATTTTTCATAAAGCAGAAGCATCCGGTGAAAAGTGACGAACGGTGGCTTGACAGACGTACCTGTAACTACCAGCAGGTGGCAAAATAATCCTCATTATCAACTGACTTTGAGGGCCTAAACATACATAACAAAGGAAAATCATTTTCACAAACAGTAATCAGCACCAGTAACTTTTGAACTTTTTCCTGTGTTTCAATGAAAATGATTGAAACTTCATTATTAACATTTAATGCCGTGAGCACTCAAAGTGTTTGAATGCAGCGTTGTAGACAGGTGCTATATCCATTGTACATTAATATTCATGGTCTGTGTTGAAATACTACTACTATACTACAGCTACTACTACTAATAACAGCTCTCTCTCTCTCTCTCTCTCTCTCTCTCTCTCTCTCTCTCCCCAGACGAGAATGCCACAGAAAATGACACATACAATTATACGAGTTACTATGATGAAGGTGTCACACAAGATTATGCTCCTATCAACTTAACTGATATTCAAGATTTCAGTCAAGTGTTTCTTGCCACTCTCTATAGTTTGGTTTTCATCCTGGGCTTCATAGGTAGGTGTGTCCTGTTGTATGTTGGCTGTGAGAACACGTCCTCACTTTCTGGGGACAGAGATAGATTTCGTAAGCTGTTGACTTTAAGGGATTCAGGGGAAAGACTCTTGTATGTAGGTGTGTAACAGTGATGTAAGAAACACAAAAACAGACATCCTTATTTTACATGTAACAGTGTGACAGATACACTTATCGTGCCTTTTCTCACAAAGGTAACGGACTAGTGGTGTGTGTCCTGGTGAAGCATCGCAATCAGAGCAACCTGACAGACATCTGCCTCTTCAACCTGGCTCTCTCTGACCTCCTCTTTGTCTTCACGCTGCCTTTCTTCTCTCACTATGTCAGGGTTGGTCAGTGGGCTTTTGGAGACTTCATGTGCCGTTTGTTGTCCGGGTCTCACCAGATTGGCTTCTTCAGCAGCATCTTCTTCATGGTTGTCATGACGCTGGACCGCTACATGATCATCGTGCACGCTCACAGGGTTGCACGTTTTCGCACAAAGAGGGCAGCCATCATTCTGACCGTGCTCGTTTGGATGCTGAGCTTGTTTGTCTCTCTGCCGGATTTTATCTCCACACGGGAAATAAAGGAAGAGCCTCAGAAGACTGGATGTAACTATCACAACAAAGTCTGGGAGCGTTACAACCTGTTCACCACAAATGTGCTGGGTCTCGTGATTCCTTTGCTGGTGATGGTTGGTTGCTACTCCAGGATCATCCCCACACTGATGAGCATGAGGACAGCAAAGAGGCACCGCATCGTCAAGTTGATCATCTGTATAGTTGTTGCGTTTTTCTTGCTCTGGACTCCATATAACATTTCTCGTTTCTTGAAGTTTCTTCAGGAAAAGGGGAAAATCCCACGTAATGACACCATGGACAAAAATATAAGGCTGTCAGTGGCAGTAACTGAGGCGTTTGCTTACACTCACTGCTGTCTGAATCCCATCATATATGCTTTTGTGGGAGAGAAGTTTATGAGACGAGCCTTGCAGCTGCTGAAAAAGTTGGTGCCTGGTTACAGCAGAGATTTGTCAGACAGCTCATTCAGGAGGAGCTCAGTTATGTCCAGGGGCTCTGAAATCACCTCCACTTTTAAACTGTAGAAGTTTGAGGGCAGTTGTAACTTGTTTAACATGCAGTTTTCACGTGTTATTACTGCAGAGCATATCTTGTTATTGTTTTTTTGTTCATTTGACCACTTGTATTTGACACATACTGCAGTGTTTTTCACTACAGAGTTTGTGTTTACACCTTTAGATCCTATGATTACAAGGGAATACTTCATTTTTATCATAACATTTCAGATGCAAAGGCTCAAAACTTATCTCCAGTGTTTTTGAGACTATGTAATGCTGGTCCTTCTTCTGCTCAGGCTCAGTGAAACTTGCTGGTGCATTTAACTGAACCTGCTGTTTGCAGCATCCTGTAACAACAAGCTGACACAAACATGCAAAAACAGCATACTGCAACACAAACAAACCAAAGATGGCAATACAGAATGTTCTAGTCTTAGATGAAATAGAAATCCTTCAATCAAATGTATACCAATACGGAGCATTTTCCATATTCACATGTCGTCATTGATAATTGAATCTTATAAAATGATGTGGAGCAAACGTTCCAGTATTGGCAACATTGTATATATGTACAGAATAGAGCTTTACATGCTGGATACATTGTCCTTATTGCTTCAGTGACTTTTACTGTTGTGCCAGACCTTCTTTGAATGAAACCGGTGCATTTTCTTACTTTAATTTACATATTTCTATCTTCAGCCCCATTCTGATGTTTCACTTTTTGCACTTTTTTTGTTTGTTACATCATTTTATGGTTCTTTGCGTTTGTAATGACTGAGTCGAGTCAGACACTCCTTTATCTCTTTTGCTGATTTTATATGATAGTTTTCTTAAGACAATAAATGATAATGCAAATCTTCAGCTTACTTCAAATTAAAGTCATAAAGTGGTTTGTCATATTGGAGGAGTCCATTGTTCATTTTGAGAAGCTCTCTTAATTCTCTCTGTTATGGAAATGACAAATTCTGTACACAGTCAGAAAAAAGGATCTGTTAAAAAAGAAGTTCTGTGAGATAGTCCCAAACTAATTCATTAGATAGGTTACTCTTCACCATCACTATAATTTTTCTCGCCTGTGGAAGAGTCCAACTGAACCGTCATCTGAAATCTCGGGCTTTCAATTGAGGCCGCATGTAATGTCTTTTCAAAATGACAGGAGTTGCAGCTTCCACATTATGTCAACAGAGAAGGATACATGATTTTTTTGTTGTTGCTAAAAATCAAATTGATATCTTCACTTTGAGACCCTTAACTTTTCCTTTTAGCAGCACTTCAGAAATTCAGTAATTTTACTCCTTTCCAAAACCAAAATCATATTTGTTGCCCTTTGTAGTGGACAGCAGAAATAACTTTGGCATATTTTCAACCTATAATCATGTTTCAGGAAGTGAAAGTATGGATTTTCCTTAATATTGTGGAAGGAGAGTCAGATTAGAGCTGTCAAGACATTAGGTGGACATTAGAGTACAAAGGTGAAAGCTCAAAAGAGCACATACAGAGATTGTACCATGTATTGCTCTGACTTTTTTAGGCATTACAATTTCTAGAAGGGGAAATAAAAGCATTTTAAGTTGAATTCAAACACACATCAATTTAAGGTTTGATTTCTTTCTTCAGTTACCCTGTTGATTTATTCAGTTAATTATATTTGCTAAAAGTGCATTAAACTGTACCGTTTCTGTGTTTACCAGTTCAGTTTAAATTATACTGAAACTGGGTTGAAATCATTTTGTTGTTGGTGCTCATCTCTGAAGGCAGCATTAAAACTGAAATGAACGGGAAATATTCTTCAGCATATTGCTGTTGTCATATTACTGATGACTCAGATAACCTCTGAAAGGATTCAAATGAACTGGTTAGCCAATTCGGTAAGTCAAGACATGTTATTCAAGATTCACCAGCAGCCAACAGGCCCAGGGTCCTCCAGCATCTCCAGGCCCAGGACTCTCCAGCAGATACCAGGCCCGCCACCAGGCCACGGTCAGGCTCCAATAGCCCGAGACCAGGCTTCCTTATTAGCCTGCAGGCGGAACAGAACGAAACTTCAGTAGTACCATAGCCAGTTTTTGCTTAAACGATACCAACTATGGCTGGTAAAAGTGCCTACTAAATGGTAAATGGACTGATTCTTACACAGTGCTTTTCTACTTTCCCAGAACACTCAAAGTGCTTAACATTCTTAACATGCCACATTCATCCATTTACACAAGCACTTTCTTCTATGCTGTGTAAGTGCTTTCTACCTAACACTTGCACACATTCATACTCTGATGGATGCATGTTAGAGTAATTTAGGATTAATATCTTGTCCAGGGATATCTGGCATCCACACTGCCAAGGATTGAACCACCAACCTTCCAATCAGCAGATGACTTGGTCTACCTCCTTAGATGTCAGGAGAGCTTTCTAATACCTCTAAACAACAGAAGTTGCTATTGGATATGATGGAACAGATTAAAGAACTGCAAAAACTAAATGAAGAAAAGGATAAAAAAATAGCCCTCTTGGTTCCCAAGTGGATGATCTAGAGCAGTATACCTGTATGAATGGCTTAATAGTAAGTGGACTGGAGACCAAACACAGAACGTATGCTAGAGCTGTAGTGGCACAGGAAGTCAATGAGCCTACTAAAGCTGACGTCGACTCTTTGGAGCAACAAACTGTCAATTTCTTCAATGGCAAGTGAATAACTATTAATAGTAAAGACACTGAGGTTTGCCATTCTCTGTCTTCAAAAAGTAATAGAGTAAAACCATCTATAATAATAGGCTTTGTGAATAGAAAATCAAAAAGGACACTGTGAGCTGTGAGGAACCAGTGTCTACATAAACGAGCATCTGACAAAGAAAAATGCAGACATAGCATGACAAGCAGGAATACTAAGAAGACTAAAAACGGTGCAATCAACATCTACATCAAACTCAAAGGAACCCCAGAAGAACAAAAAGTTGTGGTCATTAAATTTGTTTCAGATCTGGATAAATATTAGAAATGAACTATGACAGGTTAAATAAAAAATATAATTCTCCATTAGGAATTCTTAACAATCAACTATACATAAGAATCATATAACATGACAAAATATGATGATAATAACTTTTCTTAGTAAAGTGAGAACCAACCTTCCCTATAAATAATCATTGTATATACATGATTTGGGACTAAAACCCTTTTAGTATACTGATCACAGACTATGAGTCTTGGAAAATGATATAGACCTTGAAAATAATTTCTACACCCATAAAGATGATCAACAATGTGAACGTTATACTAATGACCAGTTTAATGATGTAATAAGCTAGTGTGTGGAACACCTGTACAGATGAAGTTAAGAAAAGTCCATCAATACAAAAATTCACACCAATTTTGCTTTTCTAAGATCAGCTCTATAAATTCTCTCTTGTTCACGTATTACTTTTATCTGTTTATTTAATCACTTTTTTTTAGTGTTATTTCAGGTATTCAGGTTATTTTAGTTGTAACATTGTGTGTAATATAGTATAGTATGAAAATATCTTAGCTGACAGAAAAAGAAAGGGAGGGGGAAGTAATCATACAAGGACAGTCCAGGGCAAGGTTTGTGAAACATGGAAAACCCCGCCCACGCGCAGTGTTGAAAGCGCTACGTGGGTGTGTTGGTGAGTGTATAAAGTGCACAGGGTGAGTATGACTGTGTGAAAACTAGGGTGCTATTAAAACTTGTAAAACTTGCAGGGGCAACATCAGAACGAGTGTCCAAGTGTCCATACGTTGCGGTTGCTGTGCTTCGTCATCTAGCTAGCGCTGCAAAAGAGGAGCGAGCATAAAGGGGATAATGTTTTTTAAAATAGCAGTTAATTTCAAATGCAGCACTTTTATCAGCTCAACAAACATCACCAAACACACAAACTGCAGTTTATCTCACAGTGTGTTGCTAGCCTAAGGTCCAGCTGCTGTATTTCACAGGGAGACAAAAGAAAGACACCTAACGTCACTAATTGATGAAGAAAGATTTAAAAAAGACATGGCAGGGAAGGAGAGGAAGAAGAGAGGTTATATAGGGACTGCTCAGTCTTGTTTGTGAACTAGAAATTTAAGGATTACATTAAAGATCAGATGTTGGGTAAGGCTCTCCTCTACAATGTGGGCAACAGAAATTCTTTTTAATTTTCTTCTTTTTCTTTGCTCATTTTCTGATTCAAACTGAGTGCATTCATTAAAATTTAGTTTTAAACAGAAGTAAAGTTTGTGATCTCAATATTATTTTATTATTACATTAATATAGAACAAGGTTCAGGTAGCATTGCACAAAAACAGCTGGCAGAGACATCATCCAGAGAGCAACTTTTTACTTTCTTCATTTCAGTGACTGTACTTTTTCACTACTTCAACTTCTACTGGAGTATTTTTCAACACTAGTGTCTGTACTTCTACCCAAGTAGAGAATGTCTGTACTTTCCCACCTCTGGGCAGATGTGACACAACCACCCAACTGCTGCAAGGTAGAGCCCCCTCATCGCCAAAAGCCTCAGTGTCTAACTTGCAGTTTATATCTCTATCACTAAGTCTTTATCTCCTTTGCTATCACTAACTCTATCTCTGTCCCTATCTTATCTACGTCTCTATCACAAACAGTATCTCTATTTTTATCTTCATTTCTGTTGTTATCTATATCTGCCATCAGTGAGGTTTACAGAAGAAACAAAACAATTGAGTGGCAGCTCTCTGGGTGAAAAATGTGCTTTTGATGCCAGAGGCAAGCTATCATCATCAATATGAACCAGCATCTTGTTGAATCTATGCCATGTTGTATTGAAGTAGTTCTGAAAGCAAAACTCAGTCCAGTGATAACAAGGTGTCTTTACTAAAGTGTCCTGAGATATACAGCGGTAATGTATAACAATGGGATCAAGAAGATGAAGGAACAAATAAGGAAAGAAATGATAATAATAATAAGCATTGTGACGCGCTAAAAACTAGCAGTCATCTTGTGAAGGTGTGAATTTGGGTCACCAAAAGCTGTCTTGCACTTTGAAGTATTATCTAGCTGTCTAGATTTTAAGCAGACTCCTGATAAAGATCTCACTTGAGGACGTACAGGAAGTGAAATCTGCTTTTCTACTGTGCTCCTCATTATAAGACTGCTGACTTTAAGACAGTTAGTTTATCTCTGAACATCTAAAGGGATCACATCAATAAAAAAAATCAAAAAAAGAGTTCCTGACTTGACGTGTTTGGAAGATACAACACTGAGATATCACCATGTCAGGTGAATACATTTTAATAGTAATGTAGAATTTAGTATATTTAAAGTGTAATATCTTTCAGAGTTCTTAAAAATATTTTTTTAATAATGTGTAACGTTCACAGCTGTAGGAGTTGCCGCAGAGATTCAAAACCAAATGCTATAATTGAAATTATATCACAATTAGTTCATGATTGCTATTTCTAAATTTAGTCTACACGTTTGTTTTTTATTTTAGTCTACTGTGTTTGAAGATAATTTTTGAAATTATTCAAAAGATATGCATTGCCACAATGTCTTGTGGTTGACCTTTATATCTACAATTATCTCACCCACAAACATGTATTTTTTTAAGGTAGACAATAGAGTTGTACAATGATAATTATGTTAAATAATATCACTATGACCAAAACATACTAGTGTGAAAAATAATCATTAACAAACAGGCCAAATTGAATAGTAATGTTTATTACGCCTGCTGAAATGAGCAGGTTTATGATTGTACAAGCTGACGCTGGGTTTATGGGTTTAAAGCCTTTTATGACCTTTCTTCAGAATAGTTACAGGTTTAAATAATAGCCAAGGAGACTTAAATCCTACTTTAATACAGGAGCGTCACATTATGGATTGATGTGAAGTGGTGAGAACTTTCCTAAGGAGGGAGTACCTGTGACAACCAAAAGGTGGCAATCAATTATCAACTGGCTGGGGGCCAAAAGCCCAATGCAGCAGAGCTGAATGGAGTAGCATTTGTGGTGCTCATGGTTAAGGAAATTTCCCTTTTCAAACAGCAACATGTCGGCAAGAATACTACTGCTACTACTTTAACTAGCACGTTCTTCTTCTGTCCCAATAAAAACGGATGAAGCAGCAATACTATTTAATTTTCTATTCACCTTCCTCAGGAGACAAAAAGCAAAA